GCGCCGGGTGCACGCGGGTACCTGGCGGCTTGACGGCGGGCACGGAAAAGTAGCGCGAGTCGATGTGGCCCGGCTGATGGAAGCCCTTAGGCGGAACGACCCCAGCGATAGTGTTATGCTTAGCATCGGCTGCGGGCAGGCGGCGCGCGCGTATGCCATGCGATGCCACCGTCTGAGCCTTGGCCACGGGGTAGTGGGGGCCCCGCAGGACTGCCCGCGGTAGCTGCGGCTCCGTGAATGTGCTGAAGGAGGAGCCCGAGCGCTCGTAGGGGGGCGTGTCGGGCTCGACGGCCGTCACGGAGCTCCGCCGCTTGATCACGACCGGCGTGGAGGCGTCGCTGTAGACGGGCTCGGAGGCCACGAACTTCGACGGCGGGAGGAAGCCGTAGCCGCCGCCGACCACCTCGATGTTCAGCCGACCCGACTTCCCCGCGGCGGAGGCTTGGTCGGCCTGGCTCGTTTGTACGGAGGGAGGCATGGCGCCCCGCTGCAGGGACAGGCTCTTGACGCACGGCTCCGGCGGCGGCGGCGGGGGCTGGTTCCGACACAGGTTGTCGACACTGGAAGAGCGGGGGGGGCCAGCACCAGGGGCAAGAGGCACGCAGCTTTCGGAACCAGAAGAACCCGATTTGGAGTGCGATGCTGATGAGGAGGAGTAAGAAGCCTGCGAGTGGATGCCCGAGTCACAGCGCTTGTCGGGAGGACTCACGGAGGAGGCGGTGGAGGAAGAATCAGAACACCTGGGCGCCTCTCCCGCCACGGCTGGGTCTCCGCTGCGCCCGGGACTGCTCTCCTGTGGGGAGACACACGGTCAACACACTTCCACACAACTACTGCTCAGAATCAAGACATTTACTGCATATCGGGGTTAAATAAATGAATTAACAAAATGAATTTGTTCACGTCCAGGAAGGGAAATTTTCAGTCGAACCATGGCGATTCGCCTCTCGACGTTTCGTTCTTAACTCACTGAAACATTATTTTAATGGTTGCTAATGACTTATAAACTTGAATATCTGGCACTTGATAATTCACAATTAGCATTACTAGAGTTAAATAATCTCAAGAGTGGGATTCTTGCGTTTCTCAGGAATTAGGCACTTATACTTCAACCCTGGAACACTTGTAAGGGAGTATCAGTAACCACTTTACTAGTTTCAAGATGCAACATAATCTTCCTTTACAAAGAATGCAAGTGGCAATCAGCCTTATGAGGCAACCAGTCTTCTCCATCCTTCATTGAAGCCACAAGACACTTTACTGTCATGTTTGCTCCTCACTGGGGCATAAATCCTGTGTTGGTGATTTGAGGCTTCTTATCACTGTCTCGTTAAAGGTTCGGTGATATAAATTGGTCCATCTTTTCTTAGTCAACAGTGTTAGTTGTGAATGGTATTTTTTTTCTTTTTTTTATCATAGCTTATAGTTTCACCGTGTATTTCAAACTGTACACTCACATGTTCTTGATATATTTTTTCTCATTCACACACACATACACACGTCTGTATACAAGCAAACAGAGACCCAACACTTACCCACATAGACAAGTAGACAACCACACAAAAGTTTACAATTAAACGATTTTCAGTCGATGGCTGAGAATAGTAATGTATTATTTATCCATTACTTACTGATGACTTGGTATAAAGAATTAAAGTATACATGTAAATACAGAAAAGAAATCTTTGGAAAAAAACAGTACTGAACACCCAAAAAAATCTTTGGCAAAACAAACTAATCGGAAAAAATATAAATATAAGAATATAGTAATCATGAAAGGGAAGGGATAGACAAATTGAACTTCTGACTTCATTTTAAGTTATAATAAATGTATAAACAAATCTACCATAACTTGGGTTTCATAGGTACAAAATGGAGGGATAGTTATCATAAAATGATCCTTACCTGGTAAAAGAAACTGAATTGGGAATCGTGTAAGGGTACCTGGTAACCTGAGGTACCTGGAAAGTGCTGGCCTAAGGGGAAATACTGGAATACAAATAAAAGACGTTGATGACAAATCAGAACAAATTTGAAAGAAGGTTTTAAACTGATCCTGACTAATTTTTGACACCAGTAACAAGGAGAGATATAGAAAGAGAAATGAAGTTGAAAATCATCAATGAAAACTGAATAAAAGTCACATCTAAATAAAAGAGGAATGAAGAATGAATCAAAGAAGTTGACATGACAAAGGAATAATATCATACATGACAGAAAGAAGTGATTTACAAAACAGTAAGAAACAAGACGGTTTTATGTATCATAAAATGTTGAGATGAATATTTCACAAAGTCCGAAAGAAACATCAAGATAATAGTTTCTCTAAAAGAATTAAAAAAAGGAAAAAAAAAAGAGAAAAAGAGACCTCATGGAGGAAACAGTCGGTGACGAAAAATTGTCACAAGAGAAATTTTTATTTATTTCTTTTTTTTTCACACACAGGAGTATCATGAAAGTTAAAAGAGAAAATCTACAGAAACGGGTCTGGAAATAGGAAGGGAGGATGTCTATAAGGGATATATAATAGTCAAGCAGTCAAAGCAAGGGGGAAGAAAAGAAGACAAAGAGATCAGAGTACTAACAAGCAAAGCCGGGAAAAAGAGGCAGGAGAGAGAGCTGAGGTTTGAATAGTTTACAGAAAAAAAGGAGAAAGGATTAAAAAAAAAGGACATTGGAAGCCGTACAGGAGAGTCGAAAGCTACTGCATTTCATACACTTAGTTCCTGGGATTAATGAGAACACGGTACACAAAAAAGTCAGTTGTCGATACTAGCTCAAAAACAAAACAAAAAAACAACAACAAAAAAACAACAAAAAAAACAAAGACAGGCAGCTTGAAGAAGGAACCTGAACACGTACTGAATTACTCTCCTAAAAAAAACAAAACAAAACAAACAAACTTGGACAGAACAAAAACAAGAAGGAAAAATAAAGACCCATACAGCATTACTTGAACAGCGACTCCCCCCCCCCCCCGCCGCAAAAAAATAAAATAGAATAAAATAAAAGACAAAAAAAAAAAAAAAAAAAAAGCAGACAAAAATTACGGAACAAAGACTCAATAACAAGAAACAAAAAACCCACATACCATAGAGTTGCCGCGAAGTATGTTAATCTGCGGGTGCGGTTGAGCTTGAATCGGCTGACTGTTAGAAGCTTGTTGAATAATACTTGGCTGCTGTTTAACGGGCTGAGGCTGTTGAGGATGCTGACTAACGGGCGGCGGTTGACTCTGGTTCATGAGTGGCGGTGGGGGCTGAGTCATGGGCTGCTGGTGAGTCATGGGCTGCTGGTGAGTCATAGGTTGCTGGTGGGTCATGGGCTGCTGGTGAGTCATGGGCTGTTGGTGGGTCATAGCGGCGCTCTGGTAGTTCATGGCTGTTGGCTGGGAGATCGGAGGGGGGGCGGGAGGACTGCTCTGTTCAGGGGGGGCAGGAAGAGGGGGCTGTGGATGGGGGAAGGGGGAGGGGGGAGAGAAAAGTATGGGGGGGGGTAATAAATAGAATCCTTAGTTTTCGGAACTAAATATTTTTTTCTGGAAGGGAATATAAGTTTGAAGAAAGTCCTTAAAGTGTAAGAATTTGTTGACATTCTGGAGGGAAAAAATACCTGAATATAATCCTTTGCTCTTTAAGCTGAAATTCGGGCGAAAAAAAATTGAACATCGACCTTAACTGTAAGATTTAGTTAATATTCTACAAGGAAAAACATAAACTTAACTAGATAAAAAAAAAAAGAAAAAAAAAAAAAAAAAAAAAAAAAAAAATATATATATATATATATATATATATATATATATATATATATATATATATATATATATATATATATATATATAATTCTTAACTCTGTCCTAGAAGAAAAAAAAAATCCTTAATTCTAAGACTTAGCATTTTATTCGTATTTCAGATAAAGATTGAAAGATAAGCTAACTGATGAATATAATTAATTAAAGCTAGGAATGATTTAACTTCGCAAATTAGTTAAGAATGTAAAAGGTAATATTCACACATACAAGTTTCCTGCAAAAGGTTGTTTTAAATTTACCAAAAAAAGTATATAGCGTGGAATTCATTATCAGTAAGAAAAAAAATGTCCTCGACAGACTGATAGACCACAGTAATAGATTTTTGAGGTATGTCATTTAAAAAAAAAATACCTTTAAAAAAAAAAAATATATATATATATGTAAAAGCTGGTTTAATGAGAGGCAAGATAGACTGAGTGAAAATATATAAATAAAAACAAATAAGACAGAATTTTTTACATCAATAATGTAAAAAAAGAATCACTTTATTTGCTGTTTATATTTTCTGTTACTCAATAAGTGGAAATGACTCTATGAGGCAAATTTGCATACAGCTATCGTCTACTGCATTTTCTATTTGTGACTGTAATTATATTTAATCCACAAACTAATCTAGTTAGGCTATTCAGAAATACTTTTAGCTTTATTGTTCGTTAACTCTCTGTTCACTAGTGCACTAATAAGCGTGTCTTTACATACAAAGACATACTCAGAAACGCAGAAACAGAAACACACACACACGCACACATACACAGTGTGTGTGTGTGTGTGTACATACATACACACACACACACACACACATATATATATATGTAAATATATATGTATATATATATACATACATACATATATGTACACATACATATATGAATAAGTTAACAAATAAATAAATAAACAAATAAATATATGTATATATACATATATACGCACACACATACATACATACATATATATATATATATATATATATATATATATATATATATATATATATATATATGCATATATATATATATATATATATATATATATATATATATATATATATATATATATATATATATGTATATGTATATATATATATATATATATATGTAATATATATGTATATATATATACATACATACATATATGTACACATACATATATGAATAAGTAACAAATAAATAAATAAACAAATAAATATATGTATATATACATATATACGCACACACATACATACATACATATATATATATATATATATATATATATATATATATATATATATATATATATATGCATATATATATATATATATATATATATATATATATATATATATATATAATATATATATATATATATATATATATATATATATATATATATATATATATATATATGCATATATATATATATATATATATATATATATATATATATATATATATATATATATGTATATATATATATATATATATATATATATATATATATATATATATATATATATATATATATATATATATATATATGCATATATATATATATATATATATATATATATATATATATATATATATATATATATATATATATATGTATATATATGTATATATATGTATATATATATATATATATATATATATATATATGTATATATATATATATATATATATATATATATATATATATATATATGCATATATATATATATATATATATATATATATATATATATATATATATATATATATATATATATATATATATATATATATATATATGTGTCTGTGTGTGTATATTATATATATTATTTATATTATATATATCATATATATGTCAAATATCTTATATTTATATATATATAATATATATATATATATATATATATATATATATATATATATATATATATATATATATATATATATAGACATAAGTGTGTGTGTGTGTGTGTGTGTGTAAACCTACACATAAACACACATTCATATACTGAACAGGTATACCGTACATATAACCTACTAGCTACCAATTCGTAGCCAGACTTTAAAAAGGGAAGGGTATTTGCACTGGAGAATGGGTGAGCTTCCCTAGGACTCTCCTGCGCTCGCTGTGACGCAACTGTTTCCATTTGTGTCATAGCAGTGTTTTATATGGAGTGCTTAATAAGGGGACCCAGCCCTCCTCCTAGCTACGCCACCGCATACTTACCTATATATGTGTAATCCGTAATAATAAATATCTGTATATATATGCATTATATATGCATACACACACACACACACACACACACACACACACACACACACACACACACACACACACACACACACATATATATATATATATATATATATACAAACAAATAAATATATATACAACACACACACACACACACACACACACACACACACACACACACACACACAACAACAACAATAACAACAACAACAACACACACACAATAGTGTATATATACACCAACAAGACAAAATAATAACAACAGTGAACAATAACAACACCATCAACGACAATAAACTACACTACAACAGTCCCAACAAACATCATTTTTTTTTTTTTTTGAGTTTTCACTACAACTCGAAACTCAAAATTCCATGCTTTTGGAGACATTTTTTTTTCACAACACATAACACACAACTAAATCATTGACGTGGAACTATTTCTAATTTCATCTATTGTCTATCGGTGCATATTTTGCATAGCACAGCAAATCATATAGAAAATTGCAATACAACGCATGTAATGATAATACGAAAGAAAAGAAAATATGTTTTTTTTTTTTTTTGGTGGGAAAGTTTTTGGATTGACAGAAAACGGGAATTAAACCGTATTTTCATTTAACTCAAACGTAAAACTGTTGCAATAATTTGGGATTTATTAGGCTTGCTGTGAGTGGGTCGTTGGGCCAAAAACAAACAAACACAAAACACAAAAAACAACATAAATTCATCTAAACCAAAAAAAGAAAAAAAAGTAAAAATAATCGAACGCAACAACAGCAACAGCGCAAAAAACAAAACAAAAAACAACAACAGCGAAAGCACACCAAACTTCTTATTTTTTTATTTCAAATACTTATTTCCCTCCCCCCTCTCCAAAAAGCCCCCGTAAAAACAACATACAAACAAACAACAAACAAACAACAAAAATAAAAAAAACAAAAGCAATTCGCTCCCTCCCGCTGTGACTGAAGCCTCGAGACACTTGAAGCTGAATGAATGAATGAAGCTTTGCTGTTTATGAGTAGCAGGTAACGTTACTTACGGGCGGTGTTGTGGGCGGGGGCGGATAGTGGGCGGGGTCTGTTAGCTCGGGGGGCGGGGCCGGGAAGTCTCCGCCCACAGGAACTGAGTCTGACTCCGGGAAGCTGAGGTCCTGGGGAGGGGGGCGGCCCTCCTCCTTCGGCTCCTCCTGTTAGAGGGGGCGGGGGTCAAGGGTCAAGGGGGCCGACTGCGCGCGGGAATGCATGGGCGGCCGGTGCTTGTGGGCGTGGCGAGTTTGTGTTGAGGGGATATGTGGGCGTGGCGTGTGTGTGTTGAGGGGATATGTGGGCGTGGCGAGTGTGTGTTGAGGGGATATGTGGGCGTGGCGAGTGTGTGTTGAGGGGATATGTGGGCGTGGCGAGTGTGTGTTGAGGGGATATGTGGGCGTGGCATGTGTGGGCGTGGCATGTGCGGGATGGGATGTTTGGGTGCGCGTGTGTATGTGTGCATGTGTGTATGTGTATATATGCATGCATGTACGTATCTATGTATATAGGTGTATGTATATATGTACTAACGTGAAAAAAAATCTTATTGTTTATTTTCCAAAAAAACAAAAACAAAACAAAAAAAAACACAAAATGAATTTATAAAAAGTTTTGATTTTTTTCTACTAGTCTAATCTTTCAATAAAACTGTTTTGTGTTTCATTTTTTAAATCTAATTTTGGCAACATGACAGCACGGCAGAGTCACCAACTGTTTATTTGTAGTAAAAAAAAAAAATACGTCTTTTTGTAAAAAATATTTCTTAAAATGTTTTTCGTTGAGTTTTGTGTATATTGCAAGGTTGGTTAAGTATGTTAGTAAGCGAGCGAGCGAGAGAGAGGGAGAGAGAAAGAGAGAGAGAGAGAGAGAGAGAGAGAGAGAGAGAGAGAGAGAGAGAGAGAGAGAGAGAGAGAGAGAGAGAGAGAGAGAGAGAGAGAGAGAGAGTCAGTAAGAAAAAGGGGGCAGAGAAAGAAAGAAAGAAAGAGAGAAGAAGAAGCAGAAGACAAAAAGATAAAAGAGTAAAATAGGGAAGAGAGGACAACGAACATACACGAAGATAAAGCGGGAATACTCAGCTTACATTTGTATCCCTAGATTCACTCGAGTAATATTTAATAAATAATATTTTATAAGTACGCCTCGCTTCTAATTTCTTTTCATATTCATAATCATATCGTATTACATTTATCTTTGCTTCTTAATATACGAAAAAAAGTAAAAAGATGCATCGTTCACATCCACCAGCAGGTCAAATTCGCGATCGTTCACATATACTTAAGTTCTTGTCAGGGGACACTGAAAAATGTAGTTGTGACGCACACTTACACTGCATATTGCGATGTTGCAAGAATATATATCCTTAAGGTTATATCGACGCGTA